TTTTTTATTTATTTTTTTTTTCAGAATTTGATTTATTTATTATTTTTTTTTCAATATTTGTGTTATTTTTGATAAGGATTTGGATTTTTTTAAATTTTTTTTTGAGGGATTTGGGTTTTTTATTTTTATTTTTGAGTTTTAGAAGTTCTTTTTAAATTAATTATTAAATTAATTATGTCATTAAATTTAATTAAATAAATAACTCAAAATTAACTAAATATAGAGTTTGATTTTAAGCTTAATTTTGTTTAAGTTTTTCAATATTTAATTAATTTAATTAAAAAAAGTTAAATCTTAAATTTATTAATTTAATCAAAATAAATTAATAATAAATTAATAAAATATAATATTAATTAAATACATTAGTAATATACTATAACTTTTTTATATCAAACAGTAATTAATAATATATTTAATTGGTATTTTTTATATAAATCATATTTGATTAATAATTATTATAAGTTTTGAATTTTGGGTTTTGTATCACTTTGAAACTTCAAAATCAATAGATGTCATGTAACTCTAGATATGTGTAATAGTTTAATCATATATATTTCAGCTAGAGGTCTAAATCCTTGATTATTAAGAAATCAGTATTGATGATATCTTTATGGCTATTAATAAAATATATTTCTCTTATTAAAATACATATAGTTTCTTAAAATTGTTTGAAAGGTTATTATCTGATTTTGAGGAGAAAATTGGAGTTTTTTCAGACATTTATAGATTTGTTACAAATTACTTGAAATTAATTTGTTATATTTATTATAAATGTATAATATAATAAAATAGTTGAAACATAATATTTTCATGTGACAAATTTCTATAACAAGCATTATAAGAAATCTGCTTTCAATTACAAAAAAAAATTAAAAAAAGAATTATATAATACAATTATTATTATTTAATAGCATATATTTTTTAATAATATCAAAAATTAAAAGTATAAAAAGAAAAGAATATAATGTAATAATAAAGAATAATAAATTAATTTTTAGTTAAATAAACATGTTTATTGTCTTCAATAATACTTATTTTACTTAAAAATTACATGAACTCTGCCAATTATTGGTAATAGACTTGATAACCATTACAATAAGCATACTAATTGTTTTTAATACAAGTATCTATTAGGTTTTTTTATATCTTAGCTTTGAAAACAAATCTAAAGGGGTTCAATTAATTCTCACAGTATGTACAGTATGTAGAATTATAATAAAAGTATAAAATTATATATATATATATTTTCATTTTTTATCATTCCATTTAAAATTTTTTATCTTGTATTGATTTATTAGATCTTTGTATATATTTTTCCTTATATGTATTATTTAAAGGTTTTATTACATAAGTTTGTTTCCTTTTCTAAAAATCTATATTAAAATCTTTTAAAATATACAGTTATTGAAAGACAACCTAATTATAAAACCTTCAAATTTTATAGCCCTTTTAAAATTGCATCTCTTTTGTTTTATACATTTCTATTTAAATATATCTATAATTCTATTTGTGCACTTGAAGAAGACAAAGATATTAAAGATGCATTAGGATTGTATGTTCCACTAAAGGGAAAATGGTCCCCAAATATCACGTCCATGAGCGTTAATTCGAAATTTTAAGTTTTTTAAAAAATTATATGTTTTATTTAAAATAACGCCCCGATAACGCGCATTTAGATATAAATATAAATTTCAATAATTCGATTTTTAAAATTTATTAATATGTAGCAGGCAGAATTTTTGGATAATGATAGCGATAATTTTCGAGTCATAACCAAGATTCCTGATTAGATAGAATCAAATGGACATCATAGCATTATTATTAATATGTGACGTAAATAGTGAATAAGCCACAATTGTATAATGTAAGTGGTGCACTATCAAGCCTGTTCAAATTTATTGACATAATTTTTTCGATTGTATAAAGTCTTGTACGTAATACCTTAGCAATTATGCTCATGTAATATACTGTATAATTTTTCTCTCGAAAATCGTTAAACAACTCAAAATATCGCGCAGGGACTCAAAATAACGCACATATGCGCGTTATCACGCACTTTTACGGTAATCGTAGTTAAATATTAATTAAAAACTTTTTATATAAATTTACTAACAATATAGTATCAATGAAAATATGCTTTCCGGCTAAAAGTAAAAAATATAACTCAGATTTATTAAAACACTTTATATGAATTCACTTAACAAATATTAATGAAAATATGCTTACCGTCTGTACCGTAGTTAAAGTAAAGAATATAACTCTGGTCCTTTATGTGAATTTACTTAACAAATATTAATGAAGATATGCTTACTAGCCAAAATAACGAATATGACTCGGATCAATTAAAACACCTTGATAAGAATTTACTTAATAAAAATACGCTTATCCATAAAAGATAAAAATATAACTCCAATCAATTAATACACCTTTGATATTAATTCATTTAGCAAATATTAATAAAATACATTATTTATAACGAGCGATTAATTAAATTCCAATAAAATCATTTTCGATAAAAAAGAACATTTTTGTCAAGAACATCACATTAACGTCAAAATTAATTATATAATTAATAAACCCAATTACGTTAATGCTCAATATTTCTTTTACCGAGAGTTGATCAGATTTAACATTCAAATTTTTATTCAAAAACTTTACTTTTAATAGTAACATCGATTTGCACTTTACATATTGTATACAGTAGTCATTGAGTGGCATAAAAGTTATAATAGTATATTTCGCACTTCTCATGAATTAGTTACTATGAAATGCAACATTTAGATCCTTTTGATATTTTTTGCAACTGCACTAATTGCATAAGTCGTTTATTAGCTTCCATCATGTTGCTGTGGCGTTCGTAATGGCAACGATTATATGGTAATTTATCATGACGGAATCCATATTTAAGATTGCGTCCAGGATCTTTGATATAAATGTAAACACCGCCGTCGGAAGTGATGATACCCGTACTACAAAGCATTTCCTTGGCATTCCATAGAATTCCGTCCAGAGTAGTTAACAAACAATTCTTCTTATATGCGGTAAAATGCAACCCTGCAATGAGTAACTCGGTCGGACTAAGAATAAAGTCTACTTTATTTGAACCTAAATAATCAAACAATTGTTTTGAAATAAATTGAGCAAGTGCTTCAACAGATTCGGGTTCGAGCTGTTGTATTTGATCTGCATAAATTCCATCTATTTTTTCTGCAGCTTCTTTAAAAAGCATCTTCATTGTTTCATTATCGTCTTCCAAGGTGTTCATAATTTGTTCTGCCTTAAGCATCATCTTACCAGTGTGTATCGATTGAATTATATTTGCCATTGCTTTTACAAGTTCTTTAGGATCTACTGTCATGGATACCCCGCATTCTGTACCGATGCTTACGGTAGGGATAATTTCTGCTACAGCTTTGACTATATCTGTGGTAACCATAGTCTTGTCTCCGATTTGGTAGTTTGATGACAATTTTTTTCGATAATGATTGTATCGTCTTAACAACGCACTGACTAGTTTCTGAATAAATAATTCATCATTGTTTTTGTCTAAACGAATATCAGAAAGCTTTTCCTTTTCCAATTCTTCAATTGCCCAGAGACATTTGTTGTAATCAAACTTAATAGAATCATTTCCAAAAAATTCGATATCTTCCAATAGGTCATTATAGTGCTTTTGTGCTTCTTTATAAGCAGCCTTCGCATTTTTTTTTTGCTCTTCTAAGACTTCACCCTCGGATTTAATGGCCGTTTGTTGGAAAAAAGCGTAACCTAATCGCTCATACACCGAGGCACAGTTTTTCTTGTCCGGATTACTGGCCAAATAACTTTTATATTTAGAGATAGCCAACTTTGTTTTTTCTGGATCATTCGTTGCCATCAAAATGTCAGCATACTCTTTAAGTAAGTGAGGATCATTTGTTTTGTTAAACTTTTCTTTTATCTGATCAAGCTCACATTGAAGGGTTTGAACTGGTTTTCTTACAAGTTCTTCGGGAAATCCATTTAAATTTTGAATTTTGCTTTTAATTAATTTTAACAATCGAGTGGAGTTCTCAATATAAATATTATTAGAGTCCCAATAAAAGTTTTGTTGAATCAAGAGTGCTTTTGTTACAGCCCCTTGCGCCAAGAAATAATATTTCATTGACTCATTAACTTCTGCCAAATGATAGTAAATTCTTCCCGCAGTTCGATTATCTTCTCGTTTATAATACATGTGATTGAATTTCAAGGCGTGGCATAGATGAATATCTGCCTCCTTTAATGCCTTATATTTACTTTCTTCATCTGAATATGCACGGGCGGCTTCTAAATGAGCGCATCCTAATTCAATGTAAATAGTTATCATATCTTTTGTACGATTACCATAAGAATAATTTTCTTCTGCGATGGACTGAATTGCGTTTAAACTTTCTTTTAAATAATCAATCGCCTTTTGAGGATTTAAATATATTTCTCTTCGTGCCACATCAAGGTAGACAAGTGAACGTATTTCGGCGTCTTTTCTGATGTAATCGGCATTCAACAAATTAGAAGTAATTCTTTCTGCTTCATCCAGATTACCTTGCTTCTTGTAAGCGACAGCTAGGTTGCGAGTTGTGTAATATTGATCTCGATAAGCTCGGAATTCATCTGATTTGATCAGTAATGGGTGTATTAGCAATGATTGCTCAAGATATTGAACTGTTAGGTCTTTTTCCTGTGTATTCAAGTTATTCCATAATCTTATATTAATAGATGCCAATTTATATATGATTTCTATGCTATACATCCTAAGTTGCTTTTCGTCGTATATCCCAGAGTTCATCTTATCAACAATTACTTTACTTCCAACAATTGGCAAACCACAAAGGTCCATGATTGCTCCTTTTCCTATGAATTTTTCACACAAGTCGCGCGATTTTAAATAGTATGTTTTTGCTTCATGTAGGAATTCTCGAGTTTCATAATAGTTACCAATGGAATAATATAGTTCCATCAATAAATTTTCGTAGACGGCCTCTTGCTTAAGGTGCAAAACTACTGATTTAACATGCGGAAAAATGTCGATTTTTTCTTCCCATTGAAATATTTTTACAGGACTAATAATTTCGCTACGACGCCACCTTACTTTATTTACCAGAAATCTAAGAAAACATGCTTGATATTCAGATAATTTGACGTCGGTAACAAGATTTTCTTTAACTAATATATTTTGATTAAATATCATTTGATAAGAACGATGCATGCTCAAAAAATCCCCTTCGCGTTCAATTAACATGGTCTTCTTGCACAAAATACTAATTAATTTCTCCGATAGCTGTTCTGAAGTATTAAAACAAAATTGCAAATATTGAGTCAATAAAGCTACCGGTATGTTTTGACTAGGCAATAAACTACAAATTTGTAAAATTATTGATGCTATCAAAGATGAATCACATGATGTTACTTCAAAAAAAAGGTGTTTAGCAACGGGTTGAATCAATTTAAGACTAGACAATAAAGCTTGTTGTGGATTTTTACTATAGTCACTCAAAGGTTGTCCTGACTTCTGTTGGCTATTTAAGTAAGAAACCACATTGCTACCTAAATTTTCCGAGATATAATTTGCCGCCTGTGTTACCCACAAAATATTGCATTCGAAGTGTGCAACCAGTTCTTTCAAATGTGCTGAGTCTATAGATTTGCCTCCTTTTTCTTTCAAAATATGTTCGGCGATAGCAATGGCATCATTTTCGGTGCATTGTCTTACGAGCAGTTTACAATAATCCCAGTCATTGTAGTGACTGGTGACAATTATGTCAGCATTATAATCCGGTAAGAATCTTCCAATGACATCTCTTACTTCTTCACTAGAAACATCATCAACAATCACTAAATAACGTTGCTCTTCTAATTTTGTTTTAATTGATTTGCTAAGCTCATCATCAGATAGATATTCAGAGCCCTCGATATCTAACATATCACCGATCTGTTTGCAATTGCTTAAAAGTGTATCTGAATGGTTGGCCGTAACCCATATCAGCGCCTTGTAATTATTATTATTTGTTTTTAATACTCGGTGAACCCACTGTCGGACTAGTTGCGTTTTACCCGTTCCCGAAGCACCACACAAAATAATCACATTTTTCTCTTTAATTAGTCTATCTAAATCCTGATCATAATTTCTTTGAACATAAAAAGGATTGAGAGGAGGCAATCTTCCGAATATCAACATTTAACTACCGTTTTCTCTGATACGTAATCAAATTAAAGTAATAAATAAAATAAATAAACGCAGAATATAATTATGTACTGCACGTAATTTACACAACATGATACAGAATGCAAATCTCTTTACATATTTAACGTAGAATGAACATTATTCACAATATTTATTTTTCTGTCTTGAAAACTTTTGAGGATACCCTATATGCTTTACAAAATTAATACTGGATTGATAGATATTGTCAGAATTTAAATACTATTAAACTAAACAATTTTTTAAATATAAAATAATTATATAAAAATTATATGATTTTCAAAAAATTTGTATTAAAAAAATTTAAAATATAATCTTATAATTATACTTGTTATTAAATAAAAAAAATATACCTTTATTAATAATTATTGACAATTGTTTATATTTTAAAAGAAATACATTGATCGTTATATTTGTTACGTTTATATAGGCAAATTTTATTTAATTCTAACATACAATATATATACAATGATAATCCATACATTTGATCAAATTATTTTTGCTACAAGTAAACAAATGATTATTTAAATAATTAAAAATTTAAAAATATATTTTTTGATAATCAAAATATTTATTATGTTGAATCAAAAAACATTAAGTTTTAAATATTTTTATAAATTATATACATATATTTGTATATAAATTCTGATCAAAAAATTTTTTATTTTATTTTAATAAATTATCTTTTTTAAAATAATTAATTAAAAATTTTATTAAATAATTATACAGTATATACAGTATATATTATAAAATTATTTGCTTATTTATTTTATGCAATTAATTTTTTAAAATTTTTAAAATTTCTATAAAATTTGTTTTTGATATAAATTTTGAAGATTTTACAAATTTTTTAATAAATAATAATAATTATACAGTAAATTGATCTTATGAAAATTAAGATTAATATTTTGTTAATTTGTTTATTTTAATTAAATTATTTTAGAATATAAAATTATTTTATTGATTTTTTATTTATAATTCATTATAAAGTTTATAATATAAAAATTTAACAATGTTTTTAATAATATATTATATAAAAAACTATTAAATAAACTGAATTTTTTATTTCAAAAATATTATATTTATATTTATCTTTATCTTACATTTTTAAATAATTATTGAAATATAAACTAATTATTGAAATATAAATTAATTATTGTTATTATTAGATTAATAAATAGTACTGATTCTATTTATATTATTTATATTATTTTTTATTATTTTATATTATATTATTATTGTTGTTATTATTATTATCTTATAGTTAGCATATATAATATAACCAATATATCAATTATACAATATATAACTTATAGGATAAATTAAATAGTTAAAACAGATTTTATAAATATGACATTTTTACTAAGTACAGAGGCCTATCATATTATTGTGAACACTTTTATTTTTTAAATAATAAAAAATTTTATTAATAAATA